GGTGTAACTTTCATCTGAGCTATGCATATAGGCCTGTTTCCTGGGAAAGGGAGTGGGGGCTGTTGTTTAGAGCTAGATAAGCAAAACTGAAGTGATTAAGGACCTGTTAACAGTCATAGGGAGAACCAAGGAGTGAAAATAAGAGGTGTTCTGAGGGATAGAGGTGTGGGGAAGGGGAGGTGATGGGTGCTCCCAGGTCATCCTGGGGGAGAGTGGACTATTACAAGTGAAGGGGTGGGAGGGGCAGCATTGATTGACATGGTGGGAAGGTGGCCTCCAACTTCAGGATACCCAATGATGGTACGTGGTCACTTGAAAGGAGGGACCCTGGTCTGAATCCCTGCCCCTCGCCCCTCCCGCCCTTCGCACCATCCATTTACTTCAGCTCTACCCAGTGCTCTGCTGGCACCTACAGGTGCCCTGGACAGGTGCCAGACCAGTTCTCGGGCAGCTTATGGGCTGAGCCTGGGCAGCTGGGAAGAGAGAGTTACTCCAGCCAGAACTTGGTGATCAAGAAATGGACAGAGAGTCTTAAGAGGAGCGAAGGTTGAGGATTTGTCTAAAGTTATCAATGATATCTTATTTTCGGTATCCTAAGTGCCTTTTTTTACTATTATGTTTACTTGGCACTCTCCCGAATTCTGAAATAGAGGTCAGCACGATTGCTTTTTCCCAGACACAGAAACTAAGGCCTTCGTAATGGAATTGGCTCAACCCCAGCAGAGCCACAGCCCTGGAATCGGAGCACCTCTCTCCTGGGTCTGGCAAGGACACCCTTGTTTTCCCATAGAGTCCCGCAGACTCCCCAGCTCAAGGGGGAGAGGAGGGTGCTGCCCACGCCCTGCATCAGTTCTACCCTCTCTCTGAGCTCCTTTGGGTCTTGGCAGCTGAGGTGCTCTCCCTGGAATGTTCTGCCATCCACAAGGTGATGAAGGCCTGGAAACTTTTGTTCCATTGAACTTTGCCAGGGAGCTATACTTAGCCACCAAGTGGAGGCCAGGAGTGGGTTCTCTGAATATAGACAGTAACAAGTGGGCTATTTCCAAATTTCCAGAGAACCCCTAGAATATTTGGGGCCAAAATGATATTTATAGAGCCCTTTGATCTCTGGAAGAGAAGGCATAACCTTAATGGGTCTGCAATTTCAAGACGGTTTCTTTCAATGGAGTGGGGTAAGGGACCCGGCCACTGGAAAACGATGTCCCTCCCTCTCACACCTGTTTCCAGGGCTTGAGCTCACGGAGGTCAGGCACTCGCGTCTGTGAGTCAGAAAAAGTAGAGGCCTGTCATGCCCAGTAGTTTTCTTTCCTGTGCACTTGCTGCCAACCCTGTCCGCCTGTCATGTGCCGTCCTGGGAGCACTTTTCATGCTGTGAAGCTGTACTCCCCAACCTTGGAGAGCCCGTTACATGGTTTTTCTCTTGTCCGGAATCCTCTTGATTTCTTTCATTTAAAAAAATTTTTTAAAGATTTTATTGGGGAATTGGGGGAGGGGAACAGTGTTGGGGAATTGGGGAAGGGGAACAGCCAAGTTCTTCAATCTTCGTTGTGGAGGGTGCCAGTCGCCATCGGGCTGCCCGTTGGCAGCTCGTGGCCTCTAAGCTCAAGGTGCTGTGTTCAATCTTAGTTGCGGTGGGCGTAGCCACCATCCCACGCGGGAGTCGAACTAGCAGCCTTCTTGTTAAGAGCGCAGGCTCTATCCACTGAGCCATCCGGGTGGCAGCTCAGCTCAAGCTGCCGAGTTCAGTCTTAGTTGTGGGTGGGCACAGCCCACCATTGAACAGGCAATCTTGTTGTTACACCAGTTGCGCCACCCTGCCACCTGTTGGCAGCTCGGCGACAGCTCAGCTCGGGTGCAGCGTCACTGGCCCATGTGGGAATTGAACCGGCGGCCCTATTGTTCAGAGCTTCCGCTCTTAAGCTAACTCTTAACCAATTGAGCCACTCGGCCGACTCTCCTCTTGATTTCTTTAGGCTCATTCTTTCACCCAGACTTCACTCGGGCTACAGCCAAAACACCTGCTTCCAACTCCATAGGTCCTGGGCCTCTGTCCCTCCCCTCCCCCCCGCTCCTACCTTGGAGAGAGGTTCCGAAAACATGCCTGGAGTAGTTCAATCAAAAGGCCTTCTTTAGGGAGAAGAGTGGGGGTGAGAGGAGTAAAGGTTTGGGTAGGAGAAGGAAGACCCCAAGAACTGGCCATGTCAACATCACCCAGGAATGACTGCGAATGAGCCTTAGACCCCTTTCTGATTCTCGTTCTGTAGATGTGGGGAGAGGGCTCCAGAAACCCAGATGTTAAACGGGCATCCTGGATTAATTCTGATGGTCAGGCTAAGGAACACGGACAGGTGGGTGCGGGGTGGGAAGCTGTGAGCCGAGAGTGTGTGATGGGTGAGGGGATGGGGCAGCTTCGTGGCCTGACTATAGCCGACGGGCTCCGAGTGGGATGTCCCCCGATTCATTCTGTCAGTTTCCTGGCAGGTGCCTGGGCCTTTCCTCACCCCTCTGCCAACCGACCCTTCACTACCCCTGCCCTGTGCCAGCCCAGATATAAATATAAGAGCATTTTCCATGGGCCGGCACAGAAGGGCAAACGTTCGACTTTATTTTAGGCCTGTGAAATTCCCTTCCTTCATACTCAACAGGTGCATCGCCTCATTTAGATATTGGGGCCCAGAAATAGAACACAATTTACAATATAGCTTCCTTCAGGCATCTGGATGCTATTTAAAAAAAAAAAAAAGCATCCTGTGAACTGGCTGGGCGCAGCACAAACACTGGCTGGAGCTTTCCTCTTTGCCAGGCTTGGGGAGAGGCACCCATCCGCAGGCAGCTTGACCCCACTTGGCAGAGGGGCCGGGCACCTCGGGGGACAGTGTGGGGGGAGGATCATCTTGTTAGGTCACAGGCCTGTTCTCACCCCTGCAGGGTTCCCTGATAGGACAGTGGAGGGGGGGTGGGGACAGGCACAGACACTAGAGAGGGGATGGGTGCTGGGCCGGGGACTCAGACCTTTGGAGGTGTTTCTAACTCTTGTCAGTTAGAATGCAGTGTCCCCCTCCATCCTTTGTGGACTAGCGAGGAAGAGGATCTAGCTCTCCTTGCCTTAAGCCCAAGCACAGGGACACAGCTGGCAAACTGTGTTCTCATCAGCTGTTGGGAGTGGTGAATGGTGTCCCCCCAATTTATATGTTGAAATCTTAACCCCCAGTACCTTAGAATGTGGCCTTATTTGGAAATAGGATCATTGCAGATGTAGTCACAAGGAGATCCTTAGGGTGGGTCCTAACCTAATATGACATGTTTCCTTAAGAAAGGGGGAAATTTGGACACACACACACACACACACACACACACACACACACGGAGGACACCATGCGAAGACGGAGGCAGAGATGGAATGGTGCTTCTACAAGCCAAGGAGCATCAAAGATTGCCAGCAAACCAGCAGGAGCTGGGAGAGAGGCCTGGACAGATTCTCCGTCACAGCCCCAGAAGGAACCAGCCCTGCTGACACCTTGGTCTCAGCCTTCTGGTCTCCAGGGCTGTGGGAGAATAAATGTCTGCTGTTTAAGCTGCCCAGTGTGGGGGACTTTGTTACAGCAGCCATGGCAAACTGATACATTAGCTAAAGGGCGTATTCCCAGCCTCAGAAGTGTCTTCGTTCCACTGGCTGAGATGGTCTGCTGTAGGCCAGGCAGGGGCTTCCCTGGGTGGTCTGTTTCATTGAGGTCACTTTGGTCCAGAGAAGCCCAAGACCAAGGTCAAGTTTCCTCTGGGATGCCCCCAAAGCCCTTCCAATGGCTACTGTCAAACCAGCCTCCCAGGGCCCTTCATCCCCTGATGAGCACCAGGTGGAATCTGCAGCGGGGACTGCCAGGGCTGGGGCTGCAGCAGCAGGTGGCTGCAGAGGGAGGTACTTGGCGCTTGGAGTGGTCCTGGTGAATGCTCCTGAATGTCCTCACATGCAGCGGAGGCTCAGCAGGTCTGATGGCTCAGCGCTGAGAGAGGGCGGTCTCTTGCTGTGTGGCTCCATTCCAGGGCCAGGTCCAAGGGGCCTAACTCTGTCCCTTGGCTGGAGCCAGAAGTGGAGCTGCTGACAGCACGCCATCGCTCTTGCAGAGAGGAGCAGGTGTCCCCTCCCAATGTCAAGGGCTCAGTCTGTTAGACTCGGACCTCCTTTGTTCCTTGATGCTACCCTCCCTCCAGGGTCCAGCTGGAGACTGTTAAGACACGGTGGTAAGAAGTGAAACCAGTCTAACGGGTGACCTAGGGGTGAGAGGAGGCCACCTAGGAGAAATGACGCCACTATACTGGGGCAGTGGGTGTAGGACCCTGGGGCAGGGGGCTCTTATGTGTTGGCATCTGAGTTGGTTTGGGAAGGCACGTGTATCCGGGCAGGGTCAAAGGTCTGGGTCACTCGCTCAGTTCATAGATGCCTACGGCCTCAGGAGAGGGTGTGCAGAAAAACGACGACAGTACTGTGGACAGACGTGGAGACGCAGCCCCTCGGCGAGATGGTGCAATGAAGACACCTCCTTGTGGTATCAGTGGAGAAGTGTGCAGATACCAGACTGGGTCTCTCTTCTTAAGACCCTAGGGGGAAATGAACACCCTGCCACACAGCGCTCGCTGCCCACCCCTGGCCTTTTCTCCTGGCCTTGGTATCCTTACACTTCTTCTCTTGCAAGCCCTCACTCACCCCCAGCCTGAGTGCATGTCCGTCAGTCCTTCTTCCACGGTTTAATGGGTTCCCAGCTCCCATCTCTTTTCTTCCAGAAGGCACCCTTGCTCACCCGGATCCTGCCTCCCGCAGCCTTGCTCCCCATCCCATAACAACATCACCGTTCGATGCCCTGACCCGTCTCGCCCTCCTCTGACCCCAGAAAGGCCCAGGTATCAGGGAGTCCTGTTGCCTGTGGAGAATTTCCCAGAGCTTGGCCTCCTCTGTAGACACAGGGGACTGGAAAGACGCAGACCCCCAGAGGACATAACAGATGTGAGTGCACGGACTCTTTATTGCCTCACGATTGTGGATGGGGGCCTAGCTGCTGGTCTTCCCAGTGCTGCTCCATCCCCGGGGCAGCCTAGTGAGGTAGGGAGGGTATGTGTGCGTATATGTGACATGAGGCAGCGTGGCCCAGATCCCAAAGCAAAGGCAGGTGGAGGTGAGCCTTGAGGTAGCTCTGCCCACAAGGGCTAGACTGTGTGATCCGCTCAGCACAAGTCAGACTGTTCGTGTGGAGTTGCAAAGAGGTCCAAAGGCAGCCGTGTTCGTCAGCTTAATGGCAGGAATTGTCTATGCTGGAGGCAGTCTCCCAACAGTCTTTAACTCTTGGAGAGAGAGAACCTAAAACCAGAGCAGGTAGAAAACAGAATGGTGGTTCCTGTTTCAGTGAAAGTTGTCCCTGGGAGAGAACTCCCCTCTAAGTGGGCAGAGTGGAGTGGGAGATCTGCAGAAGCCCTTGCTCAGTCTAGCGGCCTGCTGAGCTGCTCTGGTTCTGAGTGGAAGCAGGCTGCAGCAGGCAGGAGGACGTGCCTGAGAGCGGGTGGCTGGGCTCCTGCCCTCCCAGGACACCTGGCTCCTCTGGGCACACACCAGGCAGCAAGGGCCTGCCACGAGGGGTGCTAGCCATGGACTCTCGGGGTGAGGTCCTGTCCCGCCTACCTGCACCAAAACCATGGCTCTCAGGGGCCAGGGCAGCAGCCAGATTCCTCGTGCCGTGCCAAGAGGGACATGCGGGAGAAGGTCTTGGCGCAGCTCTTGCACTGGTATTTCTTGGTGTCAGAGTGTGTCTGCAGGTGGGCCCGGAGATTGGAGCGGTCGGCGAAGGCCCTGTTGCAGTGGGAGCAGGCATAGGGCTTCTCCCCTGGGGGAGGCAAGGGGGAGGGCCAGGTGAGTGACTCTCTGGGGTGTCCTGGGAAGGCGGCCCCAGGGTTCAAGTGTCCCTATTTATAAATGAATAACCCACCCTTCCCCCTCCAAATGCTCACTCAATTGGGATGCATGTATTGTCATCACCCCTTCCCTAGGACATAAGTGATGGGGGCCTTAGCCCCTACGCTAGGAGGAGACGCTAAGGCTGAGAGGCCACAGGAGTGCCCAAGGTTGGGGCTGCTTGGGGCCGGGGTGGAAGAATACGCCTACCCCTAAGAGCACAGGTCTGCCACAGCTCTTTCCACACCTACCACCACAGCTGCTAGATCTTTCTCTTCCAGAGTTCTCCTGGGGCCCTATGCCACCCGAATCTGGAGGTGAGAAGCACGGGCACCTTCTGGCAGCCTGCCCACGGAAAGCCAGTGGTGGAGACTGGCCAGGCTCCCATACAGTCTACCATGAAGGCAAGCTGGAAGGAGTGGAGCCCTTGTCCTGCATAGGAGGCAGGCATTCAGGAAAGGCTAAGATCCTTGTAGCCTCCGGGCCACCTCCAATCAGGTGACCAGGGATTTGGACAAAGTCATTCTGTTGGGACCTTGGCCCCCAGGACGGCTCTGACAAGTATAAAAGGAAAGGTCACTGAAAGTCACCTGTTCTCCTCTGCCTGTGTACAGTGGCTTCCAGTCCTGCAGCACTACCGAGTCCTGAGAGGCGCCAGCCTGCAGTCCCCGCTGCCTCTCACGTGGGCACGCTCCCAGCCTGGCCAGCCTCCTGAGGGGCCTCCCACCCACCTGGCCCCCAGGCCAAGGGCACTGAGCCTCTGATGGTGTGTGACATCCTCAGCGAAAGGTCAAGGAAAACCAAGAAGGATTTCCAGCCTGGAAAAGGCTCCTTTCCAGCAAAACCCTTCTTTCCAGTCTCCACCCAGGTGTGACTCAGAAGATTCTCGTCAGGGAGCCATGATTTAGGATTAGGGAGGCTCCGGTTATAGAAAGTGTGTGTTGCAACTGTGGGCCTGCAGTCAGGACCGAAGTCTTATTCCGGGAGCTCTGTCTCTCTGTTCCTGTCTCCCGCTCTGTACAGTGTGCTTGACAAAGTCCTGGGCTCCAAGCAAAGCCCCGGGGCTGAGGTCCAGTTCAGCCACTGGTTGCTCTTGGGCAGAGCAGGCCCCTTCGGCTCTTTCTGGGCAGTATTTTGTAATCTACAGAGTGAAAAGGCTGAAGTTCTTAGGCCTCCTTCAGCTGTCTCCTTCCTCTGTTTCTGTCTTTGTCACCTCTCCACAGCTGCTCTTGTCTCCTTTGTTTCCTGTGGGGTGCTGGCCACCCTGTCACCCAAGCAGGTTTGCTCCAGGTCCCCAAATCCTGAGTGAAGTCCCAGCTGTCCTTTCTGCCCTTCAGATAGGCTGTGACCCCTATGGTTCTCACCCCCAGGCCAGGCCTTTCTTGCTCCCCTCTCCCTCTGCTCCAGAGTTCTGGAAGGCCGTGGAATGTAAGAAGTCAGTTCCTGCGGGAGCCCTATACATCCTGCATTTCGCCAGATGTTATGAGTTCAATTATGTCCCCCCCGAAAAAGAGACATGCATCTTAGTCCTAAACCCCAGTACCTGAGGATGTGCCCTTAACTGGAAATAGGGGCTTTGCAGATGTCATCAGGTTAAGATGGGGTCATGCTGCAGTTTGTGGGCCCTGGTTCAATATGATCGGTGTCCTTATAACAAGAGGGGAACTTGGACACGGGCACACAGTGAGGGGTGACCACGTGGAGACGGAAGCAGAATTTGGAGTGATGAAGCCACTAGCCAAAGAATGCCTGGAGCCCCAGGAGCTGGGAGAGGCAGGAAGGATCCTTCCCAGACCCTGTGGAGGGAGGCAGCCCTGGGACACCTGGATTTCAGGTTTCCAGCCTCCAGACAGTGGGAGAGGACATTTCTGATGTTTTGAACCCCCCAGGTTGTGGGACTTTATGCTATAGCCCCAAGACATGGATTGACACACTGGCAAGCAGAAGCTGTGTGAATGTCTAGTCTCTTGTTCATAAAATCACCCCTCCCCTCTTTCTAACCCCCAGGTCCCACCCCCGCCCCTACCCAGATCCCCCTTGCGGACCCAGCGGTGTCCTACCTGTGTGGGTCCGGATGTGGCCCTGGAGCAGCCAGGGTCTGGAGAAGGCCTTGCCGCAGATGGCACAAATGCAGGGCAGCGTGTGTGTGCGGATGTGCATTTTGAGGGCGCCCAAGCTGGCATACTCCTTGTCGCAGTACTTGCAGGTGAAGCAGCGATGAGCCTGCACGTGGCAGTGCAGCTGCCGGTGCCTGGCCAGCCCGGCCAGCGTGTGGTAGGGCTTATGACAGTGGAGGCACTGGAAGCCACCTGGGGGGCAGAGGGCCTGCTCAGCCCCCAGAAGTCTGTCTGAAGCCTGGTCTCTGTCTGGGCCCAGGATTGGGGGCCACCGCGTGGGCAGAACCAGCAGCGGGGGCAGGTTGAGGTGGTTCAGGCTGTCTTTGAGGGGTACGCTGGGGCCCCGGCCAGCCCGAGGGTCCACCCGGCTGACTTCCAGGGGGTCTGGCTCAGAGGCCCCCCGAGCTTCCTCGTTACATGGGAGGGGCAGGGAGATGCAGGTGATGATGGAGGTGTGGTTCCAGAGCTGGGCAGGGTCCCCATGTGTAGGAGGGGTCGCCTTGTCTGGGAGAAGAAGGGGCACCACCAGTCCCCCGCAGGCAGAACAGGCGCCATTGATCTCTAGAAGGGCAGAGGGAGAGAGAATGGAAAGGTGAAGACTGAGTCCCAACACGTTGTGTTCTCAAACTTGTATCTTGTCTCCAATCTCAAGCCCATCTTCATCTAAGCCAGCAGCAGCTTGGCAAGACGGGAAAGGCCTGAAAGATGGACGTATTGTCTAGGGAAATAAGGATGGCCCGGACTCCACGGGATCTACAGGAGGAATCTCAGTTCCTTTTTAGAAACAAAGAAAGAGGAATATCTTACAGGATCTCAAAACAGCCCCCCTGAAGGCTTCTCATGGAAGGCTCCCTCACTGCCAGGCACTTGTCGCACCTCAGGACCAGCTCACGGTGCAACCCCCAAGCTCCCACAGGATGTTAACTCAGAGCACTTGGTGGCAGGCCACCATATGTAAAATAACTAGCTTTCAGTCACCTCTTGATCACCCCTCACCATCGTGACATGGTGCACACAGCCTCCTGCCAACGTTCCCAGGTCCAGAGCGGCTGCCTCCTGGATGGATGTGCCCTCAGCCTGTTGCTCCAGTATTTGAGGCAGCATGCCCATACTTGACCCGGATGAAAATGGCAGGACCCCAAAGTAAACAGGTTACCCGGTGAGAGTTAGATTCTGCGTCTCCCCAACACCCACATCTCCAAACAGCCCACAGCCTATTTCTTATTCCTTATGTGTTGAAATAAATCTCTGGCTCTGGCTGGGTGAGAAAAGATAGGAGGAGGGTAGCAGAGAATGCTAACGGACTGTGTGAGGCTGTTCTCGGACAGTCCATTGCTGGGCCTTACACGGCTGCCTGAATTTGCACAAATGGTGAAGTAGGGCACACTGTATGATTGGACTCTACACCAGCGGTTCTCAACCTGTGGGTCGCGACCCCTTTGGGGGTCGAACGACCCTTTCACAGGGGTCGCCTAAGACCATCGGAAAACAAAAAGATATTTACATTATGATTCATAACAGTAGCAAAATTACAGTTATAGAGTAGCAACGAAAATAATTTTATATGGTTGGGGGTCACCACAACATGAGGAACTGTATTAAGGGGTCGCGGCATTAGGAAGGTTGAAAACCGCTGCTCTACACAATGGTTTTTTAAACTTTTAAAACTATAACCCATGTAAATTCAACTTTCCATCATATATATCCGAAACAGAAGTTTCCTTTACTAGGAGCACTGTTCTCTGATGGTTTCTGTTCTATTTTATAAAATTGTTGGTGGTGCTTCTTGATTTCAGGACACAGAGGTGAGATGCCTGGTCCTGGAAGGCGCCCCCTGGTGGCAGCGGGGCCTCAGTACCGGTGAACGACTCCCTCCCTCCCCAGGCTGGGTTCTGCAAGCGCTGAGGCTCTGAGGGGTTCCAGCTGGGAGCCCTGGCCTCCCCAGTGTCGCTTCTTCCCCTGTTCTCCTCTGAATCACCAAGCAGTCCCCTAGGGTGTCTTTGCCCCAAGAAGCTGCCAAGCTATCTCAGACAGCTCTGACCATTCTAGAGTCCTTTGCCCTGGGACCTCCTCATGTCCCTGTGCCTAGCAGGGAAAGGGAATAAGAGGACAGTGCTTGGGTCCTGGACTTCCGTCTCCCCACAGAGCCCCTAGGGTGAGGATTGCAGCCCCTTAGCCCAGCCTGCCCTGGGCAACCTCCACTGGGGTGAGGAGAGGCCAGAAGGAGGGAGACCCTCGGGAGGGGTGAGGAGGCGCTGGAGGGGCCCGCGGAACGCTGGACGAGCTGGGCCTTAGCACGATAAAGTCCATGCCCACTCTTCGCGTCCCCTGTGGTCACCACCCAAGCCAGGATGCTCCGTCCTTGGACGGCAGCCCCAGGTGGCCCTCCGTCTCTCCCCCCACCATCCCTGGGACCCTTCCCAAACCTCCTGCCCCAGGAAGATGCTCCCGGTTCCCTTAGCTGGGATGGGCACGCCAGACCGTAGAGGGAGAGCCCAGTAGGTGAACGGGGGCCTAGAAACTTCTCTAAGTGAGGAGAGAATCCCCACCCGCTTCTCCTGACTCGGGCCCCCTACCTCCCTCCAGCACTGGCGCCTCGGCCGTAGCGAGCTAACTCCTCTCCACTCACCTAGGACAGGTGCCCCCCACTCCCACCCCCCACCCCCCGCGCTTCCCCTCCTGCCCCGCGGGAGCCCGAGCCCTGGGCGGGGGCTGAGGACCCTGGCAGCCCCTACCTCTCTGCGTCTCCAGCTGCCCGTAGTTGGGGACCCTGTGGCTGGAGTGCGTTTTCACCAAGAAGGAGCGCGGCATGATTCCTCGCGGGCGCGGGCTGCACTTGCGAGTCCACCAGCGCGGGTCTGCAGCGCCGCGGCAGGTGCGGGCAGGGTCAGGTTCATTAGCATAGCGCACCGCCTCGGCCAACCAGCAAGCTGCGCGGCCGGGGCGGGGCGGAACCGCGGGATAGAGCTCAGGGGCCACGCCCAGGACAGGTGCGCGGCGTGGGGGCGGGAGCGCGTGGCTGGCGTGTCCTGCCCACGGGACTTCCCTGGCGCGCGCCGCGAGTCACGCCGACCCCTGGGGCCTGGCACACTCACTCGCCACCGACTAAAGGGCGGAGGTCAGGGCTGGATAGAAATCCAGCCGCCTTCAGTGAGCACGGCGTGGGAGCGTGTGCGGAGCCCAGGCTGCGAGAACCCCTGCTCCCTCCAGTTACACCCGCCCCGCCTCGTGCGCAAAACTGCAATGGTAGGAGTGGCCCCCTCTCGGCGGGCCCCCTCCCCCTGGAGACAGTACCCTAGGAGTTGACCCCACAGAAAGCTCATTTGGTGGGAGAAGGGACACAGCCCGGAATTCTGATTAAACGCGAAGTTTAATCAAAGAGGGCAAAGCGTGTGCACTGTAAACAGCTTGTCTGTGGTGCTGGGCAGCCATGTCCCTCCTTCTGTATCCTTTGGAATTCTCAGTGCTACAAAGAGCTGGGTGAGTCAAGTTTGGTTGTCTGGTCCCCGTTTATGTGGACCTTTCATGAGTTCAGGGGTGAGATGGGGCAGTCTCTGGCCCCTGAGAGCCACAGGGTGTTTCCATGGTTGTGTAGCAGGCCTACCTTCCCCACAGAGCCTTTTGAGGCACAGGTGCTGCATATAGCCTGGTGCTCTTTGCCAGCTGTGGGCTTGGGGGGGATGGTGGGGATGGTGGTGAGCCCGTAGAAGAACCCTTGCGGAAACAGTGGGAAGGAGGGCCGAGTCACACAGTGTCTTACGTTCCCACAGTTTTACAGATGAGAAAACTGAGGCTCCGAGAGGCTGAGAAGTGGTGGGTTTGGGACCCAGGCCCACAATTCCAGCCTTACCCAAGGTGTGTGTACCCGGTCTGTTGTTTGGTGAGGGCCCGTTGAAGGGCAGGAAGTGCATGGATGGTCCTGTGGGCCACGGCCTGGCACCACTCTGCCACGCATGTGGCTTTCAGAGGACATGTGGCTGCCTTCTGCTTATTCACCTGTTCCTGGGCCTGGAAAGGTTTCTATTTATACCCTCTTCCTTCTCTCTCCCCCTCCCAGACACAGATAACACTCGCAGATACCTGGGCCAACCCTCTACTCACACTGTCCTTCCTTACCCAGCAACCCATTGTGTGGCCGCGGACCAAGATGACTTCCTTAATCCCCAGAGAGACACTCTGTGATTTAGGGTAGCTGGAGCACCCCTGTGGAGAATCTGCTGATTACATCCTGGAAATGTCCCAGGGATCAGAGGGTCCTTGGAGTGCCGGTGGGTAGGGGCAGTTTATCCCTTTCCTAGGGTTGCCATAACAAATAACCTGAAGGAAAGTTTGCAGTCCCTCCCAGTGGTTCTGTGGTAGCACGGATTCGCTTTCAGCTGTGACTCATAGGGTTGTGTCATGGCTACACCCAAGTGGGACCCACAGAGGAAAACCTCAGTGTCTGCCTGTCCCTACCTGAGCAGCCCGGGGGGTGGGGGAGGTGCAGCCGTCCCCATTTGTTCTGCTCTGTGTCCTCCTGTCCTCAATACTACCGCTGTGCCTGGCGGTGAAGCCTCATGCCCTGCCCTGCGGGTGGGAAACCCACTTCCCACCGGGCCTCTCTCTCACCGAGAGCATGACGTGCAGGGAACCGAGGTCAACCTTTCCTGCAGAAACCATAGCAGTCTTCCTTGGGCACCAAGGACCCAGGGGATGACAGCTCCCAAGAACCACCCACATGCCTGATCATCGGGCGAACTGGCAGTGTCCAAGTCAGGAAGTAGGGTAGCCCCATGCGCCGCAGGTCAGTTGTTACAATCTCACTTACGTTGATGTTTTCTCTTTTTATGCGTATATTCTATACATCTGACCACACCATCTGGTCAGATTGGTGGCCAGTGTGTGCTTGGTCACCCCCAGTGAGGGGACGCACTACCACTTATAGCTGCTCATTCCATTTTGGGGCCTGATTGTTAGAGGTGATACTGGTTCTTAAACTGGGGTTCAGTGGTCACATCCCGTGTGATATGGGGGTACTGAGAAGCGATATCGTCCCTCCGCACACAGCTTATAAGACAGGCAGTAGAGGCCTAGATACCTTAGGGCATGCCAGAGAGAGTGATGTTGGATGCTGAGGAGGGTCCTGGGGGCTGGGGCAGGAAGGTGAGAACTGAGCAGGGACACATGTGCTGTGTACACATGTGTGTCAGTGTGTGTGCATGCATGTATGTGCATGTGTGCAGACCTGTGTTCTGTTCTTGCATATGTACAATACACATGTGCGCATGTGTGAGATCACAGGAGCTTTTCCCATGTGATCCAGAGATTGGGCATCAGCAGGTGAGCTCTGGCCTTGAGGGGAGGGGTCTGTTGGTTCCACAGCTCGGTTTCCAGCTCCTCACCCCACTGTACCCTTTCTTCATCTCTGTTCGCACAGTGGAGCTGGTTGTTGGAGAGACTGGAAGTCCCATGTGTTGGGTGGTTCTCTCTCAAGGCCGTCCCTATCTTGTCAGTCAGTCCTCACTAGAGTGCTGAACCTCAGTACATGTGGTCTCATATTTACTCGGTCAGTGTGTTGTGCTTTTCTCACTTGCCCAACCACCAGGGCACAGAGTGCAGCAAGGTGCGACCTGTCCTCGAGGCTAACAAAGAGGCATCTCAGCTGGCTCTGACCTCCACAGCAGCTTCCAGCCAAGGAGCTGAGTCCTGCCAACGGAACATGTCCAGGACCCCAGGATGCGCCTCCTGGGTTCCCGGGCTCCTGTGACAGGCAGCCAGGCCTAGGGCAGGCTCTCCAGAAGCCACTAACTGCAGGATCCTTCAAGGCACATTCCAAAGGAGCCAGCAGTGGGTCTAACAGGTCCACAGGTGTCTTCTCTGGCCTGGCATGCTGGCCACCACATTCAGCAGGACAGCTCTGTAGGAGCCCAGCTGGCTCTGTCCCTGGGCTGGGTCAGGGCCAGTGGGTCAAATTCTCAAGGGGCTCTCGGCCACTTTGGTGCCAAGCAGTGGCTCCAGCACTCTCCAGAAATCCATGAGGCAACTCAGCACAACCATACTAAGATTACAGCTACCAGCTGCTGTTCCTTATATTTAGGAGTTTACCTTTCCAGGTGGCAGCAAGCTGGAGCTCACGCCTTGTTCTTTTCTACTCAGCATGTGCTGTCAATGAACTGACGGACAGCATTAGGGGTTGAAGCATGTATCCCCAAAAGACATTGAGTCCTAATCCTGGCACCTGTGGTTGTGGCCTTATTTGGAAATAGGGTCTTTGTAGGTGTCGTCAAGACAAGGTCCTTAGGGTTTGGCCCCGATCTGATGACTGGTAGTCTGATAAAAGGGGAAATTTGGACACAGACACACACAGAGGGCAGATGACGTGAGGCACAGGAGAAAGCCGCGTGAAGCTGATGGGTCAGATGCTGCATCTGTGAGCCAAGGATGCTGGAGGCGGCTAGCCTGGCAGAGCAGGGAAGGGTGGGTGTTCCCTCACAACCCTCGGAACGAACCAGCCCGGCCAACACCTGGACCATGGATTTCTGCCTCCCAAGCTGTGGGAGAATTAATTTCTGTTGTGGAAGCCACGCACCTGTGATGCTTTGTTACGGCTGCCCCAGGACACTCACACAGACGGTGTGACCTGGCTTGCCCCAATTTGCCCAGCCAATCAAGGAGAACTAACCAGAGCCCCACAAACCCATGTACCAGCAGTGATCAGAGTTTCTAGGAAAGCACTACATTGGTGCTGTTTGCACTTCCCAGTGGCCCATTCTGGTCCCTGCCCACCCCTTCCTCTCCAGGTGTTTTCAGAGGTTTGATAGCATAGACTCTCGAGGGAGGTGCAGGTCCAACGAAACAGTCTGCCAGCTATTGCCTCTTCTACTTGTCGTTTGAGAGGAGCCCACACCAGGAGTGGTCCAGCCACTGGCCACCCTTGTGACTGTGAGGGCCACTCTCAGAGGAAACAGACGGGTTTCAGCTGGCCTTGTTCCCACCCAGTTGCCTGTCCTTTTCCTGAGCTGAGGCCCAGGCTCTGGGTGGGAGGCCAGCCGCCCCTACTGGCTTCCGGCTGTCTGAGAGTGTGCTGCTAGAGATGCGTTCCTGAGGATGATTGTGTGAAGGCGCCTTGGACCCCATCAGTCCTGGATGCCTTGCAGTGAGTGAGTTTAAGGCTCCCTCCCCACGAGCATGCTTAGGGAGGGACAGAGGTGGGGAGCCCTGGTACCCTAGAGAGAGTGTTAGGAGGAAGATCTGCAGTGTGGGGTGTCAGCACCAGGGGGTGGATGGGAACACAGGCGCAGACAGCCTTTTCAGAGTCATCTCTGACAGGGCTGGCTCACCCTGGTGCCTGGGCACACTGACTACAGCTGTGTCATGAGGACACACCCTCCCTCGCACCAGACCCTGGGGGCAGAGGCACGTGGTCCCCTAGAGATGCCTCAGAGCTTGTCAAGGTGCGCCAGTAGGAAGAGTCCATACTGGGACCAGGGCCGCGGCATATCAGGCCCTTTGCCGCTAGTGGCAGGTTCTTGGAATTTCTTTCTTCATCTAGAAAACGGAAGCAGTGACTTCAGCCTATTTTCCCAGGGGCTTGTGAACCTAAATAAAGATGGCCCTACGTTAGATGACCCCCAAGGTACCACCTAGCATGTCCAAGGGATTGGGGGAGGGTATGGCTCTGTGTGACAGGCTGCTGGGTCCCCTGAGGATGAGGTAAAGCAGGCAGACCTACTTGTTTATTTTTTCTGGCGCCAGACCCCTGTGCACACTTGTATTTCCTGAAAAGGCTGGCCTGGAGTCGCACAAACCCAGGCTGAACTGAGCCCGCTTAGGAGGCCACTCTGCAGTGGGCCTGTGTGGCTGTCCCCTGTGTGTTGCCCAGCTGTCCGTGAGTGCCCAGAGCTGGTGGCCAGTTCCTGGGAGCCCCAGGCTAGTGAAGCCTAGCCTAGAGGGCTCTGTGCTTTGGGTGTCCTGCCTTTAAGTCAAGGTTACAGGTACCTGGGAACCCGTAGGCGCTTTCTAGGCAGTACGGAGTGCCTAACATGATAGGAAAGGGCATGCCACCTCCATCTGGGGACACCCTAGGGCATAGGCGTGTGCTCCCTGGACATAAGGACTGTCTGGCTTGATGCTGCTGAGAAAAGCTGCCGGAGTTTATCAGTCCCTGTTTGTCAGGGTGGAGGAGACCCTGGCTTTAGGAACCCCCAGCTTAAAGCGGTGGCTCTCTGAATCTGCGCCTACACTCAAGACAGTGGGAAGCCTGGGGCGCAGTCTTTCAAAGGGTCTGGCTCTGGCTACCCTGTAGATTTGCAGTGGGACCTGGGGAGGAACACGAGGGGCTGGCCTGGGTTTGTGGCTGGCATCCCAGCTGTGGTCTGGGGCCCCCAGTCTCACTGGGAAGCCCATCTGCACGGATTTCAGACATTTGGCTCCAGCTCAGATTTCATCCAAAGTGAGAGGAGGCTGCTGGTGCAGTGGCTTTGGCCTGAGGCGCCCCCACGTGCCCACTGCGGGTCTGATTCAGGTAGCACACACCCCTGGGGGGAGAAGGGACAAGGGTACTGGCCAAGGGGAGGCTCAGCCGGCCCTGTAGGAGGTCAGTACTTAAGACACTAGTGCAGGGGAGGCTCGTGGGAGAGAAAGGTGCTGGGTTGGAGGGTGGAGAGAAATTGGGCAGCAGCAGGGAGGGGAAGCGCCTGCACCAGGTGCTGGAGCCCAGCTGGTCCCAGCACTGCCCTAGCTGGCTCCAGGTCCTCTGATGGGCTGACAGGTCCTGCTCCCGCCCCCTTCAGGGAGGCCCAGGAATGTGATGCTTGGGCTGTGCTTTTGGTGGGCCGGTCAGCAGGGCAGGGCAGGAGGGCCGCACTGAGGCTGAAGTCCCAGGACCCCAGCCTTCTGGCCTCCTGCAAGAGGGGACCTCAGCTGCTGTGCCGCCCTGCCTTTCCTGTCGGCCCTGGGGGACGCTGAGGCTGGGCCTGGAGGACTCCCCTGGGGCACGGGTACGCTATATCATCGGCCTCCTTCTGGAAGGTGATGGAAAGGACAGGCTGTCAGGCAGCTCTGCTTCTAAGGGGGTAACTCCAGCCCAAGTCCCACTCTTCCCTCAAGTGGTCCCTTGTGACTTCTGCTTGCCTGGCCCTGCCATGGCTTTAAGCTCAGGAGACCCACCTCCTTTGTAGAGGGATGGTTCAGAACACAGCCCTGCCTGGTGAAGCAGCCTGGCGATGGGCGAGCAAGGCAGGTGCAGGGCTCTGCTCTGACCAGCTACCAGGTCACTGGCCAGCAGTTGATTCTTGCCAGCTTCGAAAGGCCTGTGGTGACTTGGGGAGCAGGAGGGGCTGTGGCACCGATGATGGCCTTGGAGCACCATCCCTGGGTCGATGTTTCAGTGGAGGAGGGCTGGGTGCCAACGTCTAAATGGCTCCTCACGACCCTCCAGTGGCCGAGTGAGGCTCAGGGGCTGAGGGTACACATGGGGGCGTGAGGCAGGCTACGGGGACGGCTGTGAGGCCCCAAGAACCGGCAGCAGGGACAGTGGCCACCGCATGGGGGCTGCCGGGGGGTTATGGAGCCTCACCTCAAGGGCGTTCTGAAGACCACCCCCAAAGGCCGCCATGGCCAGCTCTGGGCCCCAGAACGGACCCCATTCAGACCAGCCCCAGCCAGGGATCCTGGGGAGGTGCCCAGCCTGCCAGCCTCAGTGGACCCTATCTCAGGCCCAGGAAGATGAATGCCACCAACACTCAGTAAACCTTTGCCTGGGTTTGTCACAAGGGACCAGATGCGGTTCAAGAACTTGTTCTGGGAGAGGTAGAAACAGGCCAGGAAGGGAGGGTCACAGGTTGAGAAGCCTCCAGTGTCCTGGGAAGTGCCATGCTCATGGGAGGAGCAGCAGAACACTGTCCTCCCAGTCACCGCTGGTGGCAGAGGCTGGCAGGTCTAGGAGAAGTGGGCAGGACGGCTGTCCCATGGCACCCTTTCTGGTCACCATGTCCTCTTCATAAGGACTCTAAAGCCAGCTTTGCTCTAAGCTGGAGCTGCCTGGGGGCAGACACACACCTGCAGACCTCACGCAGAGGAAGGTCATAGTGACCACAGCAGCCCTCCACTTTTAATACTCTCAGAATGAAACCCACTGGTCTAAGGTGCTATAGATGCTTTGAAACATTTTATTTAAATTTTTTTAAAAGACAGCAATAATTTATGCCATGAACCAAACAAGAGTACTGACCAGCATTTTCTGGCCTGGCCCACCATTGCACAAGGCCCCTCCCCAGGTTCCCCCAGGAGCTCTGCTACCACTGAGGGTGGCCCTGCCTGAGGCGGGATGTGGTCAGCTCTGGAAAGGCGTCTGAGGGCAGGAACCCAGGCAGGGGGAGGTCCCAGAACAGCCCAGCGGTCACCGCCATGGGCCAGGGCATTGGGATTTCTTCCTGGTTGTTATCCAAGGGAAATGACAAACCAACCACAGGAACCCTGGAAAACACCTGAGATGACCTGGGATGTGGCCACCTCCGTCCCATGTACATACGCGAAACCCCACAGTTCATTTTGGCTCCAGCATTTGCCCTATCTCTCCTCCTCTCCCCAGCTCGATCCCACAACTGTTTGTTTTTTATTGTTTTTTTAAAAAATATAATTTTGTAAATGTTCCATAAAAATACTATTGTTCCTAGTCAAACACAGATATTGCAATATGAAGAGTAACTGCTTGTCTTTGCTCTATAAAATGTGAAAAGGTTATCACACTGGATAATATAGAAAAATGCCAGAATTTCTAGTTATCACAAAGCCAGTACCAGGTGCGCAGGGGGTTGTGTTGCCAGACGCTGGCGGCCGGCCGGGTGTCACCGGGGCTTCCCCTCCATACGGGGAGGACATCATGGCTTTGAGAGAGACAGACATCCGACTGCCTCAGTCCCAACGGGACGTCTGCTCGGCCCGAAGCACCGAAGAAACCAGCCACGCTCGGCCAGGAGCACAGGCGGCCATCCTGTGACGGCGAGGGGACAGTGGTCTCTCCCAGACCCTGGCAATCTTGGGGACTGCCTCTCCGCCTGCAATGATGGAGGCCCCATCTGGCCCACAAGGTGCATTCCAGTGCAGGCGCTGGACCACAGAGAGCCAGCATAGCCCTGTTCCTTGAGGTGGGAAGGCTTGGTCCCAGTGGCCGGGCTGCGCCTTCAGTTCTCGGAGAGAGACAGGGCCAGGGCGGCCTGGAAGGCGGCTTCCTCATCGATGCTGTAGTCCTGGAAGACAGGAAGTGGAGATGGGCTGGGGGACGACGAGAGGGCCCGGACACGCCCGGCTGCACTAGTGGCTTCTCAGGGCCGCCACCTCTGTCCGCTCACCCCAAACAGACTAGTGCTACCACTTCTAGTCTCCCCACTGCCCTTCAGCGTGACCCAGACCAAGACTGAGGCCCTGCAGTCATGGGGCCACGGGGTCGCTGGTGCCACGCAGGCAGTTCTGTGGCAGGCTGACGTGCGGCCTGCATGTGGGATCGCTATCTGGCTTCTCCCAAGTTTTCTAGTTCCCCAAGGGCAGCATGGGGCCTCTGCAGCAGCCCAGCAGACGCCTGGCCCAGCAGTTACCTTGCCCAGTGAGTCTGTGGGAGGGGTGGGCACTCAGAGCAAGAGCTGTCCTTTCGTCTCTGGCTGAGAAAGGGAATTCTGAGGTGAGCAGAGAAGCAAGAGGGCTCCAGCCTCCAGCCACCGGGATCCGGGGCAGACAGGCGCATGAGCGGTTATCTTGTACAGCCCAGGTGGCTGGAGGCTGGAGGCTGGTGGGGACAGGAAGACAGGGCTGGGTGGGGAGGGGCCAAACCTGGGGGGTCTGCAGGCACGGGGCAGGCACAGTTCCGAACGGAGCAGGTGGGAGAGGGAGAGTGAGCTGGAGGTTTTCAAGGTGGTGAAGTCCCCCTAGCTTTTCTTCAGCAAGCACCCGAGTGCAGCCTGTCACCCTCCACAGAACTCTCTGCCCTGGCAGGGCTGGGGAGACAGTGCCCTTGCGACAGCCGCCATGTCTGTGGCCGCCTCTCCCAGAGAAGCCCCCACCATGTGAAGAGAGCTCTCTGGTGAGGGACCCCACAGAACCAAGGGGCCCTCGCAGACTGTTCTGCACACATCCAGAGCCCCTGAAGGCCCTCTAGGCGCCATGCAGACCTGATCGCCATCAGCACCTGACCCACAGGTGGCTCCCACAGAAACCCAGGGAGGCCTTTGTGTGTCCCGCTCCCTCTGAGCTGTGGGCCTGAGGCTGGTTAAGGGCTGGGGGGGGGTGCGGGTGGGGTAAGACACGCACCACAAAGGTGTCATAGGAGAACTTGTGCCGGTGGAGCAGGTGCTGCAAGAAGTTGGCGCTCTTGTAGCTGGGGTCACCCCAGGGCATCGCCGAGCAGATGGGGCACACCTGGAATGGGGGACGCAGTGGTGAAACTGAGCCATAGTGGGGACAGGCCCCCACCCTGGGGTCCCAGGAGGGCACAGTGGGCAGACAGTAGAGCTTAGGCACAAGGGCAGGCTGGCAGTGGGTGCTCACCACACGGTTGGGGTCGCTGCGGTGGTTGTCCACACAGTGCTTCACCAGCTCCTGCTGGTCCAGGTTTCGGGCGCCACAGTAAGGGCAGGTGAAGGTGGACCTGTTGGGGACAGTGCTGGGGCGGGGAGAGGAGGGGTGAGCAGTGGCCAGCCTGGACACTGCCCATCTTCCTGCAGCCCAGCCCTGCCCTCCCCTCCATGAGCCCTGGGCGGCAGGCAGGAAGGAGGCCCAGCCAGAGTCTTGGGGACCTTGGCCAATGTGGGGTCCTCTGCCCTGTTCCCTTGCACGCCCCACTGCAACTGCTCTAGAGCCACTTGCCGTCTCATAAACTCCCAGTCCCTTGCTTCCCTGACACAGCTGGGCAAGCAGGGGGAGGACGGGCCATCTGCCTGAGAGGAGGCATCTGTCCAGTCCTAGCCTTTCTGGGACTGCACTCCCCTGCTGGTTGGTGACGCTTGGGCCTGGCATGGGACCTCCTGGGGTCCCGTTCCTACAGGGTGGCGAGGCCCTCCACAGAGGGGACACAGAGCCCCTCCCACCTTCTCAGGGCAGAGCAGTGCTGACCCCACCTAGAGGTGCAGACCAGGAGCTGTCCCCACAAGGGACAGGGACTCTGAGTGCCCCTGACAGGGTGGCCTACCTGGGAATGGGCTGGGACGTGGGCACCACAGGGACAAACTTGGGACAGTTGGCCATCTGCTCCTGGACCTTCATGCAGGAGGAAATGTGCACCCTCATCTTGGCCAGTGTCACCTAGGAAGAGAGGCAGGGCCGGGGGTCAGGCAGTGGAGGGGTGGGGCAGAGCCTCAGGCTCTCCGGAGGATCGGAGCACAACGAGCACGTGGGGCCGGTCCTGTTCTTGCTGTTCATGGCCCAGCAGCGTGTGTAAGTGAGACCCCAGGGACGTGCTGCTATGGCTGCACAGGGGGCTGGTGTTGGTCACTGGCCCCTGGATGGGAGCATGCCCCAGCTGGGGCCCCTGGGGAGCTGCAGGAGGGCAGCGACAGTTCCTGGGGGGAACGGGAAGCACGTTCATTTGGGAAAAATGCCCCTCACAGCAGGAACCAATGGACAATCTTCCTTTAGACAGTTGAACATTTCAAAAACTGCTTACCAAAAGGTACCAAATAAAACCAAACATAGCACGACTTTTTCTTGGCCACCCAAGTCATGAGCTTCGGCCCAGGAGGGACCCAGCTTAGAGCAGGGCAGGGTTGGTGGGGGAGCGCTGACTTCCTTGAGCTGGTGGGGAACCTTGGTCAACCCTCCCTGGGGAGTGGCCACCACCCTCTTGCTATGTCGCCAATGCCAAGAGGCTGGAGTAAACATTTCACAAACAGACTAGTTCACAGAACTGGGGAAGCAGCAAGGGAGAGTGGGTGAGGGGCAGCTGCCTCCATGAGCACAGGGCACTGTCCCCGGGTGGCCCGGTAACAGGAGAGAACGGCCTCCGATACCAGCTCTGCCCCCAGGGCTGGTGGACAGAGCGAAGAACAGGGCCACTTCACGTGCGAGACTACAGAACTCGTGGAGGTGGATATGTGAGCTTGACGGAAGCCCCAGCAGCCCCTCCCCAGGGCAGCCCCAGAAGTTCAGACCTTCCCCTGTTTAGGGAAAACGGGCGGTTTTCCATTCTAAGTTGGTAGAACTTGTTAACCAGAAAGATGGCCAAGTCTGAAAAATGTAAATTCAAAATCAGTTCCAGCTCTGTACACCAGGAGGCAGGGCCTCCTAGCCCTGGGAGAACGGTGAGTATGGCGAGGGTGGTGGGGCGGGCTCCTGGGGCAGGATGGTCAAGGCAGGCCCAGGTGGGTGAGAGGCCACCGATGCACTTCATCTGCCTGTGGCCCCCAGGTGCCCCCTTTCCCCTACATCAACTCCTGCAGTGGGTGGATCACTGGAGTGTTGAGGCTGTGTCTGGGGTGGGTTTCAGCTCAGTCCCAGTGTCCCTGAATCGGCCACAATGCACACAAACGACCCAGAGCCCAGGCCAGGCAGTGGGGTAGGGAGGAATGCGACATGGGACATGCACAGGGCCAAAGGGAAGTGCTGTGTCACGGGGGAGGGGCCAAGCAGAGCTGTAGGGTCCTCAACAGGAAAGGGAAGAGCCCAGTTCCTCTGCAGGAGGGTGGAACCAGGACCCCAAGAGCCCAATACAAAGCCCCTTCCCAGCCCCCAAAAGCCCCTCAGGGTGGGATACCTTCTTGTTACAGCCCCGGCAGGGCGCCTTGTAGGACGAGAGCTGCTTCTCCACGTGGGTGGCCTTGTCCACCTTTTTGGGGTCGAAGGGCAGGCGGCACAGGGGGCATAGAGGGGACGGCACCTGCAGACATGGCTGGAGGCACTCCCCGCAGAACCTGCAGGGGGCAGAGGACATGGGCCTGAGGCTGCCAGTCTGCTCCAGCATACATGGGACAGCTCCCCTCTGCTGTCAACTGCACATTTCTGGAGATGGTCACGTCTGAGCCCAAGTCCCACCAGCTGAATGAGTACCATCTGGCTAAAAGATGACCCCAGGTGGCCTCGCAGCCGTGGGCTCTAGGGACCCCCTACTGTATCCTGGAGCCATGCAGAGCTACAGCTGTGGCTCTCTAGGACCTGTGCTGGCCCCATGACCCTGGTCCCAGCAAGAGCTCAGGCTGCAATAGGAGGCCTGGGCTTAGCCTGTCAGTCTCGTGCCACACAGTGGTAACACCTCAGGGGGCTCAGAGGACATGGCGACAGCACAGAGGACCCTGGAGACCCTCCACCCACTGAGATCTGGGGAGTAAAATTACTAACAATGGCGGGCAAGGGAACTACAGGGGCCCAGGACTCACTGGACAGGGCAGGGCCAAAGCTGGCAGCTTTGGGACAGTGTCCCCTCCCCAGGCAGGAAGGGCTCCTGCGAGGCCTGAGTGGAAGCACAGTGACAGGAGGGGATGTGCTCGCGCTCCTGATTGCCCAGCAATAACGCTCCCAGCCCTGGGCATGCACTCAGGCACACGACGCTCCTTGCAGCCCTGAGCTCTAGGTACTGTCCCTGGAGATGCCACATCCTGTGTGCTGCATGTGCAGTGAACCTTCCTGCCCCTGCACCCGTCAGCTGGAATTTACAACCACGCCCCATGCTGCTGAGGGGCTGCTGCTCATTCGGCAGCAAAGTCGGTCAGCGGTCAGTGGGGGGAGGGAGAAGGCACTTGATTGCAGGACCACCTCAGTCTAGCTTTGTAGGAAGTGCCGTGGGGACTGTTTAGCTGCTACATGGGACCTGGAACCGGAGACACTGAAATGGAGCCTCCACAGCCCCAGAAAAGCTCAGTCCCATCATGGGGGCTGGGCCCAGACGCATGAGAAAGGTAGTAACTCTGCAGACTGCAATAAATCTGCAAGAAACCAGAGTTCGTACTCCTCTACTCCCACCTGTGTGCGTCAAGCAGGCTGAGCCATGGTGGGGACAGGAGCTGTATGGGACACAGGGACATGAGAATGTGCCTGAGTGTACCGAGGACTCAGCTACACTAAGGGGTCAGAGTTCCCTTTGCCATCAGATTTTCACCTTTTCAGGAAAAGGCAGCTGAAGGGGATCCCGAGTCCCTCCTGCTGCCCAACCAGAGGCCCTCCTACATGCTGGCCTCCAGTGCTGCCACTCACATAACGTTTGCACATGTTTGTACACAAGAGAAGGCCTGACACCTGAGGCCGTCAGACAGTGCAGTGTTCCCAACAACCCTTGTCCTGCAGAATAAGGTCAGCCCACTTGTTACGTCCTGCACCCAGCAAGGGCTTGCCAGGCCTCATGGCAGGCATGCGAAGATGACACCACACACCCACCCCTGGCACTCTGGGGAGGAACCCAAGGCTGTGCCTCTCACCTGTCTCAGGATCTGCTTAGCCTAATGGCTGGGGGAGCTGCTTACTTCACCCAGTCTCTGGAGGAAAGTGCTGCCTAGATGGTCATAACGGGGAGGCTGCAGGAAAACCCACACACGAGTGCTCACATAGCACCAGTCACAAGAGCCAAGTGGAAACAACCTCATGTCCAGTGATAGGTGACAGGCATGCAGATCTTGGCCATGAGACGGAGGGTCTGCTGACAGATGTGACCACTTGGAGGAACCTTGAAAACCTCATATTCAGTGAGAGAAGCCCGCCACAGAGGACCACACAGTGTGTGATTCCATTTGTGTGAATTGCCCAGAACAGGCAAATCCGCAAAGGCAGAAAGCAGGTTAGTGGTTGTGGGGGTGGGGGATACAGGGTTTGACTGCCAATGGAGACGAGGTTTCTTTTTGGGGTGATGAGAATATTGTAACATTGAGGCGATGGTTGCTCAACACTGTAGATATACTACGAAACACTGAATTGTACATTTTAAATGAAGAAATTGGATCTTGATAAAACTGTAAAAACACACGCAAAAGGACACAGGACCACATGCGGGGATGACCTGTCGCCACGTTGTCAGCAGAAGGCAGGGTCCAGTGCAGGGCTCAGGAGGAGCAGGTCTCTGACAAGAGACACACAGGACGTTGGGGTGAAAGGTGCTCTGCTGTCCTCCAGCAGGAGGCAGGGAAGCTTTGGGAGTCTCAGGAAGACACGTGCGGCCACCTGCCTGAGCCCTGCCCCCCCCCCCAGCCCCCTGCAGCACTGCCTGTCTCCATGTCACGGTCCCTGAGGAGCTGGAGGCAGAACTAGGCATCCACGAGGTGGCCCAGCTCACGGCCTAGTTTCCAGCATCATCACTGTGGTGTGCTGAGAGCCAGAGCAGACGAACAGTGCCCGCTTCTCCTGCAGGAGGTTCCTGCCAGTGTCTGCCCGAGGGGCTGGTGCTGGGCAGCTTCTCAGCTGAAGGAAGCAGCTGAGGGGTCTGCTCTCCCATGCCGGGCCCACGTGCACAGCTGGAGCAGCCTGATGGCCACTGCACAGACTCCAGGTTACAGCAGCACCACCGATGTGTCTCACTCCCACCTTGGCCTCCCGCACACACAGGTACACCAGGACAGGCCAATGTTTCAGACCCAAGAAGGCAAGCAGGCCAGGCCCCAGGCACCTGGAGCGGTCCTGATAACAGAATCTGACTTCCAAAGCCTTTTCTGAGTGGTCACTCAGTTGCTCACCTCCTGGCCCACCTGACTCAGCTCACCCACACACAGATCCAGGTGAGCTGCCTGTGGGCCTGGGCCTCCATGCACTTGTCCAAGGCCTGTGCTCTTGGGAGTGACAGAAACTCCTGGGTCCTCTGAGATCCCACCCAGGGAAGCCAGCTCATTGGCCTGGGTGCAGCTCATCTCCTGGGGAAGAGCAGTGTAAAGGCTCAGCAGTCCCAGGGTCTGTGGTCACTGCTACAAAAGCACAAGGTGTGTGGGAGAGGTGCTGAAGGTGGTTGGGGGAGAGTGGCTAAGAGGCTGGCCGTGCCTGACTGCCGAGCTCAAACCCTGGCTTTGCTGTAACACTTCAGAACTTTATTCAGCCTGTCTTGTTTTCCTTGTACAAAATGAATAATGACAGTACCTGCCTCACCGGGCTGTGGCATGCAAGGAGTACTCAGAAGACATCTATTATTATCATTCCCTATGGTTCCCCTTAGACATGAGCTTTTTACTTTTTCTGTGACCTCTGTTCATTAATAAACTGCATATGGGGATACTTAGATGCAGGTACTGATGTGACAGCACTGACTAGAGGGGTTGAAAGAAGAGGCGTAGAGGCCAGAGGTAGCCTCAGCTGAACCGTGCCCCAAACAAACATGGGCCCTTGGGGGAGGGTCTATCAGAGGGTTAGAAACAGCTGTGCAACCACTGGTTCCGGATGTGGCTCACTGCCCAGGATGTCCCTCAAGTGTGACAGACAACCGACTTCCTCTGGAGCCCCTGGGGAGTTCCTGGGAGCTCTTCTACAAGTTCCACTGAGGGGGCTCCGCTCCTGCTCAAAAGCCCTATGATCCCTCCTTCCGTCTGGGTGGAGGAGGGGTACCTGCCCCATGCAGTGCTTCTCTCACCACCAGAAGATCTATTTTGTGGAAGGAAACTGCATATAGTCAGGTAGCTGTGGAGGGACATAACTAGACCACCAGCAAGGTTTTTTAAAGGAAAGGTGGAGCCTTTAAATCTGTGCTCATCTGCACGTATGCCTTCCCAATGCCGGGCAAGACACTTAGGGAAAGTAAGAGGCAGAGACAGAAGAGCCAGCAGGGAGATAGCAAGCCAGCAGGGAGAGTCAGGGAGAAAATATTTTTAAGGCAGAAGCTATCGAAGAGGCTCGTGCAAGACCAGCCTTCGAAATCAGAGAAGAGGGGTGAGATTCTGCCAAGAAAAGCATGGGGGAAGGGCATTTATAGGAGATGTTTCACAACAAGTCTGTGTAGTTCTGTATTTTGAAAACACACTTTAAGAAAACTTATTTGGAAAGAGGAAGAAAATGCAGGTTTGTGCAGACCAGAAGACTGGAAACACTGTGGCCCACAGCTGGGTGAGTGTTGGTGCCAAGAGGACATCACTCGAAGCCTAGGAAAGGCTTTCCAAAAATTAGGCCCAGGCCAAGCCTTACAGTTCTCTCAGTGATGAACTGAAGGACGCAGAACACACCTTAAAACACCCACCAGTACGTGCTTAGAAGAAACAAGTCTTGTTCAGAGGCTGCCCCTATCAAAACGTCACAAGCAGCATGAAAAAGTGAGGTGTAATGTCCTTGAAGACAAGTCTGCAGGTGCCCTCTTGTGCTTGTCTGACATGAGAACGTGGGGAAGGAAAGTGAAGGTTTCCTGGACTTTGACCCTGTCCTTGCCACTTCCCTGCTTGACAAGCAGTCCCACATCCACTCAGCAGTTCCAGTTCCCACGTTGTATCAAGAGCCTCCTAAGTCAGCTATCTTTGTTTGCTAATGTTCCAGGGCCTCCTACCAGCCTGGGTACACCAAAGCCCTCCAGCCCCCTCTCCCCGCCTTGCTGATTTCACCCAAGAGCTGTGCAATTTGGTCACTTGGGAGAGCAGACACTCTGACCTTGGCTCCCTCCCAGCCAGGCTGGCAGCTCCCAGAAGATTTGAATGCAGTTCTCAGCTGGGAGGAGAGCCACATCCTCAGGTTTCTGTTCCTGAAACACCCCCACAGGGGCCCGTTGTGGCCCCTGATGCAGCTGGAAACCCAAGCAAGGTGCTTGGTGACTGGTCCCCTGAAGGCCAGCCTGCCTGGCTACTCGGTGATAGATGTGACCCAAGTTCTCCATCAAAACAAAAGAAAACAGCACCAGACTCCAAACAAGCTCCTCTCCTAACTTTAGGGAACTTCTCTCCTCGGCAGTCTACACAAGCAGACAGCGGGTCCGAAAAAGAGTTGACAGCAAAAGCCACAAGGCATTTATTTACAACTGTCCACTCCAAGCTCCACGGGACCGAATCCAAGGCGACTGGCGCAGAGGTCGCGCCTGCTGCCCGCTGAGTACCCAGGGCGGCCCGCCGAGGCCGTCAGCAGCCCCGGAGGCCAGGGACCCCGAGACCTGGCAGTAATGCTGGTCGCCCCCCGTGTGCCGACAGGGTGGCTGGGTCGATTGCCCAGGGTTGGCGGACAGAACGCTGGGATGAGGAGGATGAATGCGCCTCGAGGGCAGGGCCGGCGCTGCGCAGGGAGCCCCCGCGCCCCCGCGCCCGAGTCCTCCACGCACCGGGCTCCCGGGCTGCGCAGGGCGGCTGTGGGCCTCGGGCCCCTCCCGGCCGGGCCCGGACCCCTCCCCGCAGCGGAGACCCGGCCCCGCCGCCGCCCGGAGGCCGGCGCACTCACGTGTGGCCGCAGCTGCCGATGGCCACAGGCCGGTGGTAGACCTCTAGGCAGATGGGGCAGCTGTACTGCGCCTCCAGGCCGTTATCGCCGCCCGCGGGCCCGCCCGGCGGCTGCCGCTGCTGAGCCGAGGCCACCAGGCTGCGGAACATCGCCATCCCAGGGCCAGGCCCGCCGCCGCTGCCGTTATCCCGGCCGGCCCGGCCCGGCCCGGCCAGCGCGTCACGGCCGCGACGGCGCCGCGCTGACGTCTTAGGGCGCGCCCCGCCCCCGGCCTAGGAGTCACGGTCTCGACGGCGCTATGGTGACGTGATCAGTGCGCGCCCCGCCGCTGGCCCCGCAGCTGTCTGCACCGAGACCCGGCACGGCCATGTGTCAGGTGGGCGAGGACTACGGGGAGCCCACGCCCGTGGGGCCGACGCCACTGCAGCCTGGGTAACAGCTGGGCCCCGCACCCGCCCCTCTGGTTACCGGAGCCCCCGGCCGGCTGCGAGCCCTGACCCGCTGCGCTTTGCTAGTAGTCCCGGGCACCGCGCTCCGGGAAGCCCAGATATCGCCGAGGCCGGGCCCAGAAGTCCGGGGATCCTGGGTGGGGGCTGGTCCTCCCTCTGCATCACCCGGAGAGTGCCTGTCAGGCCGGTAGTGAACACCCCAGGGAGGGGCTCCCTCTGCTCGCTCGCCCCTGAAATTCTTGCATCCAGTGGGACAACTCCACCCTGACTATGCTGTCTTTACTCGAAGAGGAGTTGGTCTCCCTGTCGCTTCCACCCACTGGCTCCATATGTCCCCTCCAGGGCCACACAGCAAGTTGTCTCTCCTCTCATGCCAGCCCTCAAGAAATTGAGAGGTGGCCTTTATGTGCCAGTCCCCCACACCCCCCAAACCGACTTTAGCAGACTGAAAACCCCCAGGGCGCTTGTCTTTTTTCAAATTGGCAGTTTGGATAAGACACAAGCTCTAGTTTGTGTGTGTACGGCCCCCCACATGACCTCTCCCGTACACCAGCTTGGGGTGAGAAACAGGACGCTGTCTTTCTGAAGCTGCTGGGAGGGGTGTGTATAATCTGTTCTTGTTCTCTCTTCCCCCCATGTCTCCAAAGCTGTGAGCTGAAGTGTGTAAAGTGCAAGGAAGGCCTGCCGGTGGTGGTGATCCGAGTGGGAGATGCCTTCTGCAGGTGAGGCCTGGAGTGGGCAGGAGACCCTGGCAAATGGTCTTGCTCAGCAACCAGGATTGCCTCCATTTCTGTGGCTTTATTTCTTGCATTTAAAAGTGTATAATCACTTCACTTTTGCTTCTATCATCGCTCCTGGTGACTCTTGGTGTTGGTGGGGCAAGTATTGGTGTCTTGTGTGGGTCCCATTCTCCCAACATCCAACCATGGATCAGATGGCAGGAAAGTATGTGATGGAGCTTGTGGGGAGAGCTGTGTGAGGTGTAGGCAGGGTGAGCATTTGGGGGCAGCTAGAACAAACACATCTTGGAGCAGTTTGGAGCATCCTGGGATCTTGGGAAGGTGTTCCATTTGATGCCTATTTTGCTTGTGAAGGATAGAGGGGTGGAAGGTGGGTCCAGCCTTTCACCAGCTTTGGGGGTCCTTCAGACAGGAGCAGAGGCTTATTCCCAGAGGGGCCTGGGCACCAGTGTGTGTGTGTGTGTTTTTTAAAGATTTTATTGGGGAATTGGGGAAGGGGATCAGCCAAGTTGTTGTTCTTCAGTCTTTGTTGTGGAGGGCGCCAGTCACCATCTGGCTGCCCGACGGCAGCTCGTGGCCACTCAGCTCAAGGTGCTGTGTTTCATCTTAGGTGCAGGTGGGCATAGCCACCATCCCATGCGGGAGTCAAACCCAGCAGCCTTGTTGTTAAGATCACACACTCTATCCACTGAGCCACCTGGGCGGCAGCTTAGCTCAAGGTGCCGAGTTCAGTCTTAGTTGCGGGTGGGCATAGCCCACCATTGAACAGGCAATCTTGTTGTTACACCAGCTGAGCCATTCTGCCACCTGTTGGCAGCTCAGCAACAGCTCAGCTTGGGTGCAACATCACTGGCCCATATGGGAATCCAACCGGCAGCCCTGTTGCTCAGAGCTCGCGCTCTTAAGCCAACTCTTAACCAACTGAGCCATTCGGCCGGCCCCACCAGCATGTTGTTTTATCTGAAACTCTCTTGTGGGCCTGTAACATCACTCTTGAATCATCACTATTTTATGTCCGATCACTTTTACTGGATTCATAACTCTGCAAGGGCAGGGCTGGTCTCCCATTTTATCCCTATTAATTTCTGGTGGTGTTGCATGCTTTATATAGCAAATGAACATTTGTCGAATGAGTGATCGATTGGCTTGCCTTTTTTTTTTTTTTAAAGATTTTTATTGGGGAATTGGGGGATGGGAATAGTGCTGGGGAATTGGGGGAAGGGGAACAGATAAGTTGCTGTCCTTTTGTTCTTTAGTCTCGCTGTGGAGGACTGGCCCAAGTTGGCACCGTCATTGCACTCTTCCGGGCGAGGCAGATCAGTTGCTGGCTTCTGGACGGCCGCTCACAGCGGCTGCTGGCCACTCACGCTGGCTACTGGCTACTCACGATAGCCCATGGCAACCCACTGCCACAGGGGCTGCAGCCTACGCCATTGCCGGTGACCCATGGCAGCCCAGCTCCAGGTTGAGCTGTTGTTCAGCATCTTAGCTGTAGAGGGCAGTGTCATTGGCCCTCATATGTGGGATCTGAACCGGACCCTCTGGCATTCCAAGCCAGCTCTTAACCACCGCGCCACTCGCCCGGCCCTCGCCTTGCATCTTTAAATGGGTCTCCAAGAGTCTTGGACTCTGCTTTCTAAAATGTTACAAAAAAGAAACTGAAGGGACTGAGTAAATTGTTTTCCAAAAAACGTTCTCGTCCCTGACCATCTTTTGGGAGCCTAGTAGACTTGGTGTGTGCTTAGTAGCACGAGGTGTGTGCCACCATGAAATAGATTTTAGGCAAGGGAGCCACTGGTTTAATCACTTCAGAGCATCTAAAAATGATGATCACTCCAGTCTGCTTAGAGAACTCGCTGGTAAGGAGAAGGAAAGCTGCAGTAGCTCTAGGCAGGGCTGGCAGGGCTCCTTCTGGGCCCAGAGCTCGACCTCCTATGCTTGCTCAGTCCCGGGACAAGGTGAGAAGCTGACTTCCTGGGTTGCAGATTTTGAGCTGATTTCTTCAGTGACTGAGGATCTGCACGTGTGGGAAATCTGGCTTGACCCAGAGGGACAGTGTGGTTTCAGGAGCATAGTGGTGCAGGGAGGACATGGAGTGGGGCAGCCACAGGGTGGTTCCCCCCACCCGCAAGTGAGCAGGCAAGGTCAAGCATCTGCGTCTGCTGGGGGGAGCCTCACCCCACCCTGACCTTCCTGGGTGTCTCTTCCCGTGGCTGGTCACCTGGGATCCATAGAGCTCCAGCATGTTGCTGTTAAACACTGAGTTGAGTTACGTTCCTCAAAGGACCTGTGGGGTGTTTGGTCGACCCCTCATAAGGGGTTCCTGTTCAGTGTTGGGGAGATTGCTGTGGACACCAGGGTATCTGAATAGAAAGAAGGAAGCAGACAGGAGGCACAGGTGTGGGGCAGCTCTCTTGGGACAGCGTTGCCCCACTCTGCAGGGTGGTATTGTTCTCCACCCTGCCTGCCTGCTGGGGTTGCCAGGGGAGCTTTAAAATGCAGATGCCTGGGCCTTGTCCCTATATACTCTGACTTAGTTGGCCTGAGTGATTCTAATGTGCAGTTGAGGCTGACAGTCTCTGATGTCGTGAGCCCAAGAACCAGCCGGGAGGTTTATCAAGAACACAGATTCCCAGGACCTGCCCTGGAAGTTCTGATCTGTAGGTCTGAGGACTCTGCAAGAGCTTGCTGGGCATTTCTGGTCCTGGAGGGATCAGCGTGCTAGAGGGAGGTCTGTGTGGAGCTTCAGGACGCTGGGCCCCTGCAGCCCGATCAGTGTTTCCTCCTTTACCCCATGAGGTGGTGCTTCTGCCTGCGGGGGTCTTGGAAGGGGTTATCAACATTGTTTAAGGGAAGGTTGGGGTGGCCTTACCCTGCAAATGCCTGGGTTCATCCACTCCGCCAGCTGGTCCTTTATGAGTGCCTGCAGGTACATACAAGTGGCACCCAGGCTCCTGGCCTCTCAGCCATCGGTTGACACTGGTAAGGTTTGTGGGAGTGATTCAGGCAGGCCTCCCCATGTGGTGTGAGGCTCATCCTGGGGCAGCCATGGCTGACAAGAACTTCCTCCATGCTGGCCTCTGGGTGGATCCTCAATATTCAAGATGCTTTTAAAGGGCCAGCCGAGTGGCGTGTTGGTTAAGAGTTGGCTTGGGACGCCAGCTCTGAGCAGCAGGGCCCCGGTTCCGATCCCACATGAGGGCCAGTGACGCTGCGCCCTCTACAGCTAAGATGGTGAATGACAGCTCGACCTGGAGCTGGGCGGGCGTAAATCACCGGCGGCGTAGGCTGCAGTGGGGCTGGCCGGCAGCTGGCGTGTACTTTAATGAGCTGCCGTTAGCCGCCGTGAGCAGCCGTCCAATGGCCGGTGAGTGACTGCCTCACCTGGGGAGAGTGCAGTGATAATACCAACATGGGCCAGTGAAGTGACGCTCTCCACTAGACTGAAGAACAGAAGGACAGGAACTTGTCTGTTCCCGTTTCCCGATTCCCCAGCACTGTTCCCCTCCCCCAATTCCCCAATAAAATCTTTAAAAAAAAAGATGCTTTTAAAGATGGAAGTTGGTACCAGAAGGAAAAGGTCACTGAGTGAACATCAGGCTGCCGCCCTGCAGGAGCTGGTATGACCAGCTTCTCAGTCTCTGTGTGGAGGATGGGCAGCCTGGGCTTCATGGCTGCTGTCCTTGGTGGTTTGTGTTGCAGGAACTGTTTCAAGGCGTTCTACGTCCACAAGTTCAGAGCTGTGCTCGGGAAGAACAGGCTGATCTTCCCAGGAGAGAAGGTAGAGTGTGGGGTGACTCCTCTGTAAGGCATCTGTACTCAACTAGGCAGCCCAGACCTCTGGGCCCTGGCTTCTGCTGCCCTTCCCGCAGATGGCCTATCCCAGCTACATCCCATCAGCCCTGCCTGCTGTCCTACACCTGGGCTCTGAGGATGGACCCATGTCTGGGGACGTCCATGTCAGTGTGGGGGGTGGGCAAGCTCATGTTGGAGATGCAGTGCCCCCCAGTCATGTTCCTTCTCTCCCAGGTGCTCCTGGCATGGTCTGGGGGAC